CCACCTCCCCACTCCTTCCAGGAGAGCCCAAGCAGGAGGGGTGACAGGGCCGTCTACCCGGCAAGACAGGCGTGTCCGCTGTGCCCCGCCCCGGAGACTGCTCCCTCTCGTGCCCACGAGTGGGGCCCCACAGTGAGGCCGGCTGAGGAGGTGGAGAATGGGTGCCCCTTGGCTATGCTTGCGGCCCTGGGCCCCGAGCCAGAGGTGCAGTGGCTCGTGACGGAGGAGGGGCAGCCTCCCACCCCAGCTGTTAGGGACCCTCGGGTGGCCCCGTGAGCACTAGCGGCTGGACACTGGTTTCTCCCGAGACACGGATGGAGCCCCGCGCTGCCCTGCACCTCCACCCTGGCTCAGCAGAAGTGTCCGCCGCCCCCGCATCGTGAGTCTCCCTCCCCAGAACCTGCAGTGGGCACTGCTGTCCCTGGTCCCCACGTGCAAGGACCAGCTGACACAGAGCCATCACCAGTCGCGGGTGTGAGCACACAGGCAGGGGGCCCTGTGAGCAGGTGCCGGCTTGGTCAGCACCGCGGACAGTGGCCGCCCTTTTTTGCGGCCAGGTTCCTCTCCGGAGAGCCTCCGTCCTCCCCAGGGGGACTCGGCTGCGTCTGGACCACCGCTCGCCACCCGTGAGCCTGCTACCCACTCCTGCCCCACGTCCCACATCCACTCCTCTCACGGGCTTTGCGGTCAGACAGCTGACTCCCACCCTTTCCCTGAATTCTCAGCCTCTTCTGGGGGGGCGGGGGGACTGCTGGCTGCCAGGTGGGGAGGGAGCCCCAGGAGGACCTTCTGGGCTCAGGAGAGCTGCCTCCCCTGAGGGCAGGACCGCGGCCAGGGCTGGAGGGGGGCAGGGTGCAGGGTCGAGGGCCAGGCGAGTCTGGAGAGTAACTGAGTCAGCAATGGGGAGGGGCCAGGTCTCCACCGAGGCAGGTATTTGGTGATTTGGATGAGAAATGGCAGAAACAATCATTTCTCCCTTTGCTCCCCCCCTCACCCCGGGCAGGAGCTGCGTGTGCCCTGTGTGCATCATTTCGCAGGACTCTGCAGGGCCGGTGGTGTTCCCAGGTGCTTGCAGAGGCTGTGGCATTCACGTGGCCCTGGTCCACGGCCAGTTGGCAGTGCGGTGGGGGCAGGCGTGGCTGGTCATTCACCTCTCAGGCTCTGCGCTCCTCTCTGCAGAGGGCCCTCCGCACCCGGCACATGGTGGACATGCAGAGAAGGTGGCTGTCCCTGATGCAACAGTGTCACCTGCTGCTAGACCCCCGCCCAGACCAAAGGGTAGCCTCTGGGCGGTGGGAGTCCGGGGCCTTCTCTGGGGGCTCCCAGGGCTCAGGGCGCTCGTGAAGGACCACGACCAAGAAGAAGAGCGAGGTCAAGGATGACCCCCAGGAGGCATCCGCTCAGGACTGACCCCTGGCCCTGCAGCACCCTGCTCCTCACTGCTCTGGGGCTGTCCTGCGCCCCTCAGAGCCACGTGGGGCCCAGCATACACAGGGCCAGCCTCCTCCCTCCTTCCAGACTGTGCAGTGGGCGCGAGGGCCGGTCGGAGCCACGGGGCAGGAGGAGTGGGCACTGCCTGCAGAGTGCTCCCGAGCCCACCCTAGAGAGCACCAGTCCGCCCGCAGCCCCTGCCCCCTGGCTCTCTGGCCCCCTCTGGGTCCCTTGGGCAGTAATAGCTGAGTGGAGGGGCAGGGGGCGCTCAGGACGGCAGTCCATAGGTCCCCCTGACTTTCCTGGCCAGGCTTGGGGTCCCAGGGGGTGGGCACGCTCATTAAAGCACATGCGTGTTTGTGCCCAAGTCTGGGGTGCAGTGAGGACCTGCTGGGTGGGATAGCCCTGGGAGACCTGGGCTCTTCCTTGGCCTTTCCCCTACGCCTTCCCTGTGGGGCTCCTGGATGCCCGGAGCCTTCCTGCAGAGTGGACTCAGGCGGTCCAGCCCTCCTGCGCCCACCGCCTGGGCTTGGCAGTCATCGGTGACAGGACGCTTGCCCTGCGTTGGTACGCATGTGTGTTTGCTGTAGAGATGGGAATGTGTCACAGTTCGGAGATAAGCCTGAGCTGTTGCAGCGGCTGGGTAATTAGGGTGATTGTGGGCTTCCCCAGCAGACACTGTCCTCCCACCATCTCGAGCCTGCTTAGTGGGGGCTCCCGAGGGCACATGGCCCACTCCCTGCCTCCAGGGAAGTGGCAGGACTGCTAGGAACCCAAACACCCCACCCCAGAGGACCCCAGGGCTGTGGGAGGCCAGCACATCCAGGGCTGAGTCACTGCCCAGGGTGGCAGGAAGCTTCACTAAGGAGGGGCACCTCTACACTGGGTTTTGAGGGGTGTGTAGAAGTCTGCAGGGCTGAAGACTTCCTTGGCAGAGGTAGCAAGTGGAGGAAGATGAAGGCAGGGAGGGAGCTGCCAGGGTTCCAGGCTGCCAGGTTCCAGGGCAGCCCCCCTGCCCCTGGCCCTGCGTCCTGGCCGGCCTCACCTGGGCTCAGCGGGAGGCTCCTGGGGGCCAGGCCCGCGAGCAGCTCGGAGGGGCAGGGGCAGGCCCGTGGCGTGGGGCCTGTTGGTACACCTTGTCCGCTGGGCAGCCGTGCAGCAGCTGGTGAGGCAGCCACGGCGTTCCCTCAGGGCACACAGCCTGGCAAAGCCCTGGGCGGCGGCACGGTTTTGGGCCTCTGGAAGAGGGGCCGGCGTGGCTGTCGGGCTCCCTGTCACTCGGACACCCATTTGTTTCCCTTTTCTGGAAGCAGGGTGACGTTTCCCCTCACGTGTCTGCGATTCCTGCCTCCCGAGGCCACGTGTGCACGGCTGTGTGAGGCCTGCGCGTGGGCGCGTCCTCCTGCCCGTCGGCCCGGGCACGCCGGCCCGTCTGCTCGGTACCCCGGTGCCTGAGCTCCTTCCTGTCCCTCTCGTTGTTTGCCGCAGGGACTGGCCCTCAGAGCTGGCCCAGGGCTGTGCCCACCTGTGTTTGGGAATGCACAGCGATGGCGCTCTGCCCTGGGGGTCTCTCGGGCTCCTGTTCCAGCCGTTTCTGGCCTGTAGCTGTCTCCTCTGGGGAGGTGTCCGGCCGCCTCGTCCGGTGTCTGACCTGGGCCTTCTGGACTTGGAGGAGCTCATCCCCCGTGGGGTAGCAGCTTTTGCTGCCCATTTCCCCGGCTACCCTGCCCTGTCAGCCTTGTTCTGGGGACTTGCCAGGCACACGTTTTGCTTCTAACTCTGGCTGGCGCCTGCTGTCTAGATGGCAGGGCTGGTGGCAGGGCCGGTCCCATCCTGGGGGCACTGAGTCCCTGGGCTTCCAGCCTGAATTACAGATGGACGCCAACAGCACCCTCCTGCTGTGTGCTCTGTGCTCTTCCTGCTGACCTTGAATCACAGGACTCAGGCCAGATCAAAGGCAGCCGGCAAGAGGCTCCAGGGGTCTGCAGGCCTCCTTGGGGTGGGAGCTGGGCCGGGGGGGGCTCTGCGGGCATACCCTGCTGGAGCCCAGGAGCCCATCTGTCCTTCCCTGAGTGTGCACATGAGCTCCTGGCCCTTGGGCATCGCCCACAAAGGCCCAGGTCCCCCACCTGCCGCTGCTCCTGCCTCTGGGCAAGTACAGCATCCTCCCTCAGCCAAGCTCCCTGTGCCCACGGAGAGGCTAGCCTGCAGGCCCATCCAGCCCAACACCGGGGGAGGGCAAGAAGCCGTGCTGAGAAGGACAGCCGTGACCGTGCTCCACGGAAGGACACAGAGGCCACGTAAAGTTACGGACGTGCGGTCCGTTAAGGGAAGGTGTTTTTTATGCATGTGACAGGGATTCATTTCCCATAAAAATCGAGGGGCTCGTGCAAGTTGGTAAGAATCCCCCCAAACCCAGGTGAACCCAAGCAGCTGGTGAGCATGACAAGGAGCTCAAGGTCACGGTTAAAGCAGCAACAACTAGGGGGCCGGGTCACCCCAGAACCATGGGGTGGGTGTGCAGTCGGGGTCCCGACTTTGATCAAATCTGATGACACAGTGCCGGTGCCCCTCAGTGTTCACAGAAAGGGCATCCCAGGGTCGGGCTGCGATGCCACGGTGAATGGGGTCCCCCGGCCCCCTGTGCCCCCAAGTGCAGGAGGTGGGTTCAGCCATCATGATCGCCTTCACGTGCCCACCTGGGAATGAAGTCACCTTGGGGAATGTCGGGGTTGGGGGCCTAGGCTCAGGGATGGAGAGGTGGGGTGTCCTGGGCCTGAGCCCACAGAGCGGTCCAGCCAGAGGTCTGGAGGGTGCTGGTGGCCCCGGAGGCCTGTCCCAGCCAGGGAGGGGAGGGAGGAGAGGCGGAGGCCTGGCTGTGGCCACACGACAAGGGGGCGGCGACCAGGACCACAGACGTGTGCTGGGGCTCAGGTCCTAGAAGCGGGGCCGTGAGGAAGACTGAATTAGTGTTCTGTCCTGGGGGGGTCCAGGGGTGGGGGGCGGGGCGGGGGGGGTGACAGGCTGGGGTGGTGCTGTCCAGGGAGTGGCCTTGGGCCCACTGTACTGTCCTGGAGACAGCAGCGAGCCGGACACTGTCTGGACATCTCTGCCCAGAGATCTGCAGGCTGAAAGGAAGTTGGTGGGTCGGGTGGCAGAGGCTGAGCATCCCGGAGGCAGGGGTCCCTAAGGGTCCAGGCAGGGGGTGGCCCCGAGTCTGAGATACCCTGGCTTTCCTGCTGGGCAGTGGCTGAAGGCCTGGAGTGGGGGGACTCTGGGGGTCATGGCCTCGAGAGCAAGGGGAGGGTCTCAAGGAGGTCAGAGCGCTGGTCCCGTGGGCAGAGGATGTGGTGTGGGGCAGGGATACTCCAAGATGGAGCTCTTCTGGGCAGTGACCAAGGAGCGTGGGACGGCGGACAGTGGCTGTGGGAGTCCCACTTGAGGCGCACTGGGCGGAGAGGGGTGGGGGCAGGGCCCAGGCCCTGAGTGAGGGGCCTTGAGGGGGAGCAGGTAGGCCCCTGCTGGTTGGAGCCCTGGATGGGGTCTCAGGGGGCTTCTCTACCCTGCAGGCCTTGTGAAGCTGGGGATTCACTGTGTCACGTGCCAGAAGGTGGCTATTAAAATTGTCAACCGGGAGAAGCTCAGCGAGTCTGTGCTGATGAAGGTGAGCTCAGTGTGGGGGGCCTGTGGTGAGAACCCCGGGGGCTGCAGAGAAGCCAGCCCAGGTGGGTCCCACTCGCTTGGTCCTGCTGGAGCACAGGTGGGCGGCTCCAGCCACAGAGCGGGCTCCCTGCGCTGCTGTCCTTTGACCATGACCAGCACCCTCCGTGCTGGCTGCCGCCTACCGGCCCAGCCTGCCCTTTCTCCTGGCCTCAGCCAGGAACCTGGGAGGGACAGGCCGCATCCCGGGGCACCGTCTGGGCCCTGTGCCAACCTGCTGGGGTAGCCAGTGGGGCCTCAATTTCCCCAGTTAGATTCAGGAGGAGGCCCCTGCCTCAGAGAGGGAAAGAGGACATGACACTTCCCGGGACGGGACCACACCACCCCTCCTGCTTCCCGCCCTCCTCCCGCCCCAGTACTGGGAGCCCCTCGTGTGGTGGAGTCTGGGCCCCCTTTGGGACTGGACACTCAGTGGGAAGGGGTTGCTCAGGCCTCGGGCTCCCCCATCTATCTGTCTGCTCACCCGTGGGTGTGGGGCACTCAGACCTTCGCAGGCAGGTGGCATGCTGGGGGGTCCCTTCCACCACGCCTGCCCCTGCCCTGGGGACTGTGCCGCACACACTCTCCCAGCCATCTCCCGAGGGGGTACGTGGGGCCAGCACACGAGGAGGGCAGTGATGGGCTGCCTGAGGGGTGGAGGGTGATGGGGGAGCTGCTGATGGGGAAGAGGACCTCGCCAGAGGGCAGGGAGTGACTTGTGTGGGCCCCACTGGGGAACCCCAGAGACCACAGATGGGGCAGTTTTAAGGGAAGGTGATGCTTGCTTGGATGGGAGCGGGCAGACCCTGACCTTCCTTTGGACAGCACCTGGGTCTCACATGTTCAGTTGGGGACACTAAGTTCTAGCTGCCCATAAGCTCTCCGAGCAGAGACAGAGAGCTCAGTGGCAGGGGCCTGAGGATCTAACTGGGGCCCACCCCCCTGAAGGCCTGGCAGGGCCGGGGTGGAGGGGCTGGGAGGCAGCCCCCTTGTGTGATGCCCCTGGGATGGGATGGGCCAGTCCACAGGGGTGCAGACCCCATCACTAGGCTGGCCCTCCTCCGAGCCTCCTGCTGCCCCCATGACCCAGCCGAGGCATCCAGGCGGGCACGGGCCACTCGATCTCTCTGTCTCCCCACCAGCCAGAGACCCCTGGAGGGCAGGGCAGCATGGCATCGGTGTCCCCCACCGCCCAGCCCCAGGGCTGTGGGTAAGAGGTGATGGGGTGGTGGATGCAGGGAGCAGGGCAGTGAGCCTGCCCCCAGATGGACCTCTTCTTCGCATGCAGGTGGAGCGGGAGATCGCCATCCTGAAGCTCATCGAACACCCTCACGTTCTAAAGCTGCACGATGTTTATGAAAACAAAAAATATTTGTAGGTATTGCCGGGTCTGGAGAGCCGGGGTGGGGCCTTGGGGAGGGCACAGGCAGCCCCCCGGGCAGGGGGCCCTGGTGAGGAGGGAGCTCTCAGGAGGCTTCCACGGTCAGCGCTCCCGGCCCAGACCACGGCCGAGTCACCAACTGTATGGCCTCCCTGAGCTCACCTGGGCTGTGGGTGGTGGTCCCCCCCAAGGTCACTGCAGGGGGGGCGTCCATCCCTGTCACTCCTGCTTGTGTGACTGTAGGAGGCCCGGCCTGTGATGCCCAGGCCTCAGGAGGGGCCCCAGCAGCACTGTCCTTGGGCACGTTGGCGTTGAGTGAGGAAATGTGAGCAAGGGGCTGGCCCGGGGGACCCTCGAGGGCTCGACTCCAAGCCCCAGCCCCGAAGAGGCCTGGGTGCCTGCTGGACGGAACTGGCTGGCCCAGGTGGCCGGCCACAGCCCACCAACACAGTTGTGGGCAGTGGAGGTTGGGGCACGAAGCCGGCCACCCAGGGCTGCCCGGGGGAGCAGGAGGGCTCGGGCACACGGTTGGAGGACGGGCCCTGGGTGCAAACCGCGGTCCCTCCTACACGTGACTCACTCTTTGGGCCTGTTTCCTCAACGCCCTGGCATTCCCGATGCGCCAGCCGGGACCCACGTGTTTGAGGGTTAGGGTGACGGGAGCCGCCCAGTCAGCACAGGTGTGGGGGTGCTGGGTGGCAGGCCCCTGACACTGCGAGCCTAAGGAAGTCTGCCCCCGAGACAACACCTGCATGGCCCCCCACCATCGGCCTCACCGGGGGGCCCACCTTGCAGTGTCAGGGGCGTCCCAGGAGCTTGGGGCACACAACATGCGGGAGACCCATCACGCCTCATTTCTGCTGAGATCCTCTTGAGGATAGACCTGGTGCGGGGGGGAGACCTGGTTGAGGGGGGGAGGAAACGACAGGCAGAGCCTTTGGCCCCAAGGAGGCCACCGTCGGGGGTGGGTCGTAAGATAGCAGTCCAGCGGGGGGCACAGCCTGGGCAAAGACCCAATGACAGGGACACCATGCCCAGCATGAGGGTGATCGGGGGGCCAGGCTGGGTCCTGCAGGGCCCCGCACGCTCCCCAGGACTCCCAAGCCCAAGGCCACCCAGGTGAGGGAGGAGCCAGGGGCCCTCTGCCGACGAGGTCAACCTGGCCTGTGCTGTGCTTGGATCCTCCCACTCGGGAGCAGGGCAGGACCCCCAGGAGGGCCCCTCCTGCCTGAATCCCACCTAGTGCCCCCTCTGCATCTCCAGGCTCCCTGTGCTCCCACCCCCACTGACCCCTCCATTCCTGCAAGACCAGCTCTGGAGACACCCTTGACTTCCTCCAGGAACTCCTTGGGGGTCCTGCAGACATCCATATGCACATGTCCCGGGGGCCTCGGGGTCCCTCCCTCCCTGTAGCCCCTGTCACCAGGCCAGACATGGCATGCCCTGCCCCTCCAGCTCTCCCCATCCCGCCCTGCCCCCACCACAGCCCTGTGCCATAGCCCAGAGGGCCCTCAGTCCCTGGGCCCCTGCCAGTGACCGATGCAGCAGAGGCGAGGGCACAGAGGGGTGGCAGAGGGGAGTGCCAGGCCTCGAGGCTACTGGCCCAAAGAGCCAGGGAGCCCGGGACCCTGTCAGAATCCTCCCGGGGGCCCAGCCCCCAGCCCCTGCCCCAGTCCAGACCACCAGGCCCTGGGGAGCCGAGTGGGGCAGTTACGACCTGCCTGCTGGGCCATGCCCACCTTTTTCCTTTGTCTTCCAAGACCCAGTGTGAGGGCCACCCCTGGGTGCCCCCAGCCCTGCCCTGCTCCAACCCCTTGCTCACCCTGTTTGGAGGTCTGCCTTATTGGCCAGGGCTCCCTCAGGGCCTGAGTGTCTGATTCAGACCCCTGCTCTGGGAGCCCAAGCTGGACTAGCCGGGGAGGGCCTAGAATGGTCACAGCCCCAGCTTGCGTGGGTGTCCACAGCCACAGTGCCCCTTTCGCCTGGAGGCCCGGCCGTCCCTCAGCCAGGGGGCCAGGGGTGACCCTGTGCCTGGATTCCCCACAGCAGAGGGCTCCCCCCATGGTGGTGCCGGAAGCAGGCCTGCCAGGAGGTGGGGGGCGTGGGGCCCTCATGCCGAGGGTGCTGGAGGCTGGGACAGGCAGAGGTTGGTGCCAGGATGGGGTGCTGGCCTGCAGCCTCTGGCCAGTGCTGCTGTGGCTGGGTGGCCCCAAGGCGGGCGGGTTGGACCCCGTGCAGCCACCCGATGCCCACCTGTCCCCCGCAGATACCTGGTGCTAGAACACGTGTCTGGTGGGGAACTCTTCGACTACCTTGTCAAGAAGGGGAGGCTGACCCCCAAAGAGGCCCGGAAGTTCTTCCGGCAGATCATCTCTGCGCTAGACTTTTGCCACAGCCACTCTATATGGTGCGTGCCCCCACCCCCA